TAACTCTTCCCACAGCCCGCCTCAATGCAAAAGGGATGGAGCAGCTGCAGTTAGCAAGCTGTCTGCTTTTAAATCACTCCTCAAAACTTGTTTTTACAAAAACGTCAATGTTCATTTAGTATTTATTTTAATAGGATCATTTATTCTGATCATTTATTATGGTAAGCTGAACAGAGTGTCTAGTTTCAAAATGCAAGGATGGGGATGGTTCATAAAGCTAATCTTGACACTTTATTAATATCTGTCTTCACCACAGCAGCAACCCTTCACTGCAGCTGGGTGAAATACACTTTGTATTGAACACTTCTAGTGAACTCTGAAAACTTGGTCATGCTTGTTTTCAGTTCCTGATGTAATGTTCTTCTACCAAAATCATAATGAATGCTGTTCCAGAATCTGATCAAAATTCAGAACTGATCATTTGCATGGCTCGGGTGAAGACGTGCAAATTAGAGATGTTTGCCGTAATTTCTTTCTGTCACATAAAACACAGAGTTAAGGTTCTGAAAGGCTTGATTTTAATTTCAGTTAATAAGAGAATGTTAAGTAAGTCCGAGTCTTCGGTTTCACCCATTCTTCCACTACAGTGTGTTCTCCACCCCCCTTTTCTCACACAGTAAAAAGAGAAGCACAGATTAGCCCTCCGGTTGTGTTCACCTCCCGCCCCTTACTTTAGTGTTCCTGGTTAAGATGGACCGGTGTGATTTAACTGCTCTTAAATTAGCACAAAAACATTTTTTGCCACCAAATTCAGTCAGTAAGCGAGTGAGTGGATTCCCACAGCTGTAACAAGGTTGATTAAAACACTCAAAATTCAATGAAAGAGGTGCTCATCACTTTTACATGTTCAGGTGGATGGTCTGGAGCAGCGGTCCCCAACCCCCGGGCCTCGGACCGGTACCGGTCCGTGAGTCGTTTGGTACCGGGCCGCGAGAGTTGAGGCTCAGGTGTGAAATGTATGGTTTTCAGGGTTTTTATCGGTTTTCAGCGTTATTTTGTTATCGTTTTTATCGTTAACTCGGTTTTCCTGGGTCTTTTCACGTGTGTTATGAATAAATCTTTTTTTCGGTACCGGTACTAGTTTTATTTTGTTGTATTTATCCGCGACACCTTAAAGGCCGGTCCGTGAAAATATTGTCGGGCATAAACCGGTCCGTGGCGCAAAAAAGGTTGGAGACCGCTGGTCTAGATGTAGAAGGCCTGAGGAATCAGATGTAAAAACAATATTTAAGAGTGTTTTTAAGTTGCAATCAGTCAAATTGGACCCGAACACAACATGAAAGATTATTAAGCTTTTCTTGGGTGAATTTGACTTTTATTAAATGCCAACATTTATTTCCATAATAAAAGGTCAAACTTTACAGTTTCCAAAAGCACAAGTAATTACATGAAAATGAATATTTGTTCATCCAACTTTGTCTGACACATTTTATCTTACTAAACAACAGCAAGTTGCAGATTTCTATAACAAACAAATGTCAGTTACTTGCATAATTTTTCAGTATGTTTATAGGTTCACAAGAAAACAAGGGAGAATTTTTCTTCTCATTTCATTTCTCATCTCCACACATCTCCTCATATCTGCTTTCGCTGCTTGTGCCAAGACTGCTAGCTTGTGAGAGATAGCCTTTATTTGTCAGTTGCAGGTCTTTTGCCCACAACCGAGATGACAGACCTTGCCGACCGTACATACAATACAAACATCACATTGGGGAGACAGGTCAGGCCAGGTAGCGAGGAAAAAAAACATTGAAATGTGCAACACAAAAGGATAATACAGGAATGCACAGATATCAACACACCATAACACAATAAACACAGACAAGCAACATGGGAAAGAGTTCCAGTGTGTACATCTGATCTGGGACCGCTGCAATCTTCGACTGCGCCTCCAGCTGACCCGATGTCCACATCAGAGGAGAGGTAAGCGTTGGATCCGGGGTAGGGAGGGTGATGCGTCAGTGAGTGCTTATCAGTATATGTATGTGTGTGCGTGTCCATAGTTCAGCTGAGACAGTGTCCTTCGCCCTGCCAGGCTAAGTAAACAGTCTTCCAGCCAACCCAGGTGGCCTTGCATGGAATGGGAAGGAACAGACTCAACACAGTCGTTATCAGGGTGTTGTTGTTCAGCTCCAGCCTTGAGCTCCGTAAGTCCGAGTCTTCGGTTTCACCCATTCTTCCACTACAGTGTGTTCTCCATCACCCTTTTCTCACACAGTAAAAAGAGAAGCACAGATTAGCCCTCCGGTTGTGTTCACCTCCCGCCCCTTACTTTAGTGTTCCTGGTTAAGATGGACCGGTGTGATTTAACTGCTCTTAAATTAGCACAAAAACATTTTTTGCCACCAAATTCAGTCAGTAAGCGAGTGAGTGGATTCCCACAGCTGTAACAAGGTTGATTAAAACACTCAAAATTCAATGAAAGAGGTGCTCATCACTTTTACATGTTCAGGTGCATGGTCTGGAGCAGCTGTCCCCAATCTCTGTAACTGGCATTGTGCATATAATGGCCAACAAAATAATACAACTGGTCATTCACTTAGCCCACAAAAATACTATTATTGTATTCTTAGCCAACTAGACAAAAGCATGAATCTATGCATGTCTTTTGTTTTCTCTGCTATGCTACACAGAACTGTAAAGTCCACTGTGTCCTTCTCATGCTCCAAAAGATGAAATGTATGCAAAGTTACAACTGCAGTAACAGCAGAGATATTTTATTACAAGTCAACATGAAAATAATCACTGGAAAGTGACATTTACATGCATATACTGCTAAATGGTAAATGGACTGGTTGTTATATAGTGCTTTACTACTCTTCTGAGCACTCAAAGCGCTTTACAGTGCCTGCTTAGAGGCTGCCCACTGCTTCACTGAGAGAATGGTTCAAATGCAGAGAGAGTAATTTCCCCATGGGGATCAATAAACGACATTATTATCATTACAATATGATGAACTTGTTGTGATTTGGAGCTGTATAAATACAATCAAATTAAATTTTCTCCAAGTTCTACCATCGTAGTCTCAGAGCTGCTGGCTGGATAAAACCTGATTTCAGTGCACAGCCACCAAACTACAAAAGAGAAAGTATCTGACTTATTTTCCTCTGTACAGTGACGGCCAGCTCTTCACAGAGGTGAGGAAATGCCGCGACAGTCATAAGTAGTGAGATCTCACTGATATGTGGCTAGCATGAGCACAAACATGCTGTATCAGTCTTGCCACCATGTCAGGGTCCTATTGACTAAGGACATCCTGTGTGGGAGCATAACCTAATGGACACACAAGTAGGGATTCCCCAAAGTTCGGAAATGTGTCGACCCGGTGTATTAAAAAGGTGGCAAGCTATCACCTATCCTCAAACTCAGTAGAAGGTTCATGCAACAAGACTTGGGACGAAAACTGATAAAGCTGTATAAACAGTTAACAGCACCTTTGCAGGGACTGAATCTGAGCTTGAAAATACAGCCTGTTATTCAATTATTTGAATTAAAATATTGACTGAAAATCTAAAAGAATATTTCAGCGTAAGCTCTCAGGTCTATATCTATTATTGTCATCATGACTGGATCCTCTACCTCCACCTCTTCATGGATGCTGCTCCCAATGCTTCTGGCTCTTTTTGTCATTTCATCCTTTTCAGCTCCTGCTACCAATAATTGTGTATCAGCACCATCGGTAACAGCGACCACAACAGAGCTGAATGCTCTGAAGGTAAGCTGACCAACCAGTGAGTGAAAAATTGTATTGTGATTCTTTTTATGTGGTGGTACTTAGAACTATAAAGAAATTCAACAAAATTATGCACAAAACCATCTTTTAAAAAGCAGTCAGATGTTATTGTGTCCTGTCTGCTTTATCTGATTACTTACTTTGTTATCCAAAGTGTTTCTCTTTTCGTTTAGGTTGTTATATAGACGTGTAACGTAGGGTTTCAGTATGTCAGGGGTAAAACTTTGAATTGGTGAATCAAAAGCCTCTTCTCAGGGATTCACCTGCACCATTCTCATGTAAGCTACAAGAAAACTGCTGACTTTGTGTGGGTGAAGTGCGGAATAGATAGCTGATAAAGTAGCCCATGTTGCTGCTCGGCATCTATTTGACATTTAGGTTGTCTGTTACTGCTGTTGCTTCAACTCTGTTTCTCCTATTGACAGGAGTGTTCCAACAAGTCCAGCAAAACTGTAAGCCTACAATTTATTTTTTCCCATTTTACACCTTGTGTTGCTTGAACTTATGACTTTTCTCACCAACTTCTCTGTTCTCTGTCATTTTAATTGATTGGGGTTCAAATTCATGAGCCTGTTAGCCCTTAGCGGCCTCTGCTTTCTTTCTTTCTGAACAATGTCTATCTGTATTCCTGCTTCCTACATTATTTCCATTCATTATATATTTATATAATTACACTGCTCTTGCACTTGTGAGAAAACATATGAGTAATGATACTGAACCATGAGTAGTAAGTATTTCAGTGCACAACAAATTCTGTTCTAACGCTGGTCATTAGCGGTGGCGTTTTTATTTCCCGTGCTTTCATTCTGTGACTGTGATTGTTATATAACAGGAGGGAAGAGATTGGACTAACAACACAGCTTGCATTCATAAATCATTTCTAAAAAAAACAACAGAATATAAAATTACAATTCACGCGAGGTTAAATGTGATATACAACAAGCAAACAGACGGATAATGCTTTTTTGACTGTCCCTAAAAAATGTTCAAAAACGTTCACAAATGCATTTTCTATCATGCGTGCTCTATTCTGCATCTTTACCACTTCCTCTTTGCTTCCCTCTTATCTCATCTGAACTAATTTCAGCTATTCATGTGCAGCTTTGTTGACTGGAGGATGCTTGCTTTCTAATTCATCTCTTTTTTTACATACATACAGAAACACATCCTTATAAAGTGCACCCGTCCACTTTCCTTCTTGTCAGTAGTTGAAACAAGTAAAACAAGTTGTAACTCTTGCATTTGTCCTCGTACTGAACAACAGCACAAGGACAAATGCTGGTTTACTGATTCAAGAATATGATGGCTCATCTCTGTTTTCTCACTGTGTTTTCTCAGCAGTTAAACATCTCCGTAGCACAATCGGTAAGTCGGAGTTATCATTACCAAGTGCCGTAATTTTCAATCATGAGAGGTTTTAAAAGGGGTGCATGTAGATGTAGGATAGGGAGACATGTAATGAAAACGAGCACAAAGATCCTTTAAAAGTGCTTACTCTTGGATTTATACTTTGTTAGGACACAACTGGGCATGAAAGCTGCTTCATGAACTGCATTGAATGAATGAATATGAATATTCTTTATTGTCATTGTCACAAGTACATTCGTCATTTAAAAAGTCCTGTTGCCGCTGTGTTGTAGCAACAGGGCTCAGCTCTGTTGCTTTGTGACCACAGAAAACACCATCCTGTGTGTGGTCTCATAACTAGTTCAAATATGATGTTTATGTTTCTCAGTTATAGTTCCCATTAGGGTATAAATTGAGGTATGCTTTCAAAAATCAAGTATAATTGTGGTACAAGTGTTAAATTGAGAAAATGGGGGATGTTACAGATTTACTGTTCACTTTTAAATTCAGGTTTAAACCATTTTAATGAAATTTCTAACGAATGTCTGTGTAAACTGACATTCTGACGTACTTACTATGTTATAACATGCAGGACTAAACCTGCTACATTCTGGGAGTTAAACAGCATAAGTAGGATACTTACAGCTGCTTACAAGTAGGATTCCCAACGTTTGTACTAATGTTCCTGTGTTTCTCTGGAAAGAACTCTTCCATTCAGTATTTTATCGAGGGCATCAAGTTACTCAACTGTACAAACTCACTCATCTGTACAAACCCACTCATCTGTACAACCTCACTCATCTCAAACCTGTCAGAGCGCCTGAAACGTTTCTCTCAGGTAAGCGATCATGACTGTTCATTTATGTTGAACCTAAAATCATTCATGTCACTTTTTAACATTAATCTCTGTTAATGTGTTTTCCTTTAGAGTATCGTGAAGTCTGGGTGTGTGCAGGCAGAACCGTATCAATCAGTCAAACCAGAAACGTTTCATAAGAAACTGAAAACGCTGTTTGACTGTTACAACAGTTGCTTAAAAACAGCGAAATTTACCACCTGATTCTTCTGTCGCAATACAACTGGCATCCAGATTCATTCTGAATCCTTTG